TCCCAAGTAGCTGGGACTACAAGCGCCCGCCACCTCGCCTGGCTAACTTTTTGTATTTTTAGTAGAGGCAAGGTTTCACCGTGTTAGCCAGGATGGTCTCGATCTCCTGACCTCATGATCCGCCCACCTTGACCTCCCAAAGTGCTGGGATTACAGGCGTGAGCCACCACGCCTGGCCTACTGTTCCTTTTTCATAGCTTTGTGTTCTTTGTGTTTTGTAAATGCCCCTTGAGTCATGAATTCTGTGTTCTAAATGGGCTTATATCTTCTCTGATTTTCCTAAGGGTATTAATTACAGTTTGCTTTTGAAATTTTTATCTATGGTATGTATTGTGTGTCTTTCCTCTTGGAATTCCCTCCCAAGCCATTCCATTCCTTTACTTTTGGCTCTTTCTTTCATATTAGAAGCTTTTCTCAAATGTCTGGTGATCAGTGGTTGTTGTTTGTATTTAAAAGTGCGGCACTACAGTGATAATTGGAAGCTGGAGGGAGACAAGGTGTGGGAGAGGTTATATCAACTACTAGATGTATAGAAGAATTGGAATGGCTCCAGGAGGTTTTATTCGGAGACCTCTTATATCAGAATCTGTTAAGTCTTTTTTTTTTTTTTTTTTTTTATCATCATCCCCAAAGGGAAATTCTTTTATGTCCTGCCTGGGGAATGTCTGGATGCCCCTATTCTTAGATATTTTAGGAGCTAAAGGTTGGTGGGACTGAGACTGAGGGAGTCTCCACATTTAGTAATCTATGTGTTATCAATTTGGTTCTCATCTCTACCCTCAAGTTCATGTTTTTCCTTATTTCTACTCTTTCAACTGCCTGCCTAATTTCTTAAGCCATAAACCTAGTAGTCATCCTTGATTCCTCTTTCCTTTATTCCCCACATCTAAACCATTAGCAAGTCTTACTGATTGTCCTAAAAATACGTTAGAAATCCGTATCCATTTTTCTCCTGCTTTCACCTTGATTCAGATGGCTGTCATCTCTTGCCTGTACTATTATTGGAGCCTTTTTACTTCTCACTTCCACTCTTGTTCCCTTCTCATTTATCTTCTACATATCCACCAGTGTGATCTTTTCAGAAGGTAAATCAGATTATATCACTGTCATGCCTAAAAACCTCATTATCTTAATGTGTTCGTACCAGCGCCTACCAGTTCTTTTTTTTTTTTTTTTTTTGGAGACAGGATCTCATTTTGTTGCCCAGGTTGAAGTATAGTGGCTGTTCACAGGCGTGACCAAGCCCACAACAGCCTTGAACTCCTGGCCTCAAATGATCCTCTCTCCCCAGTCTCCCGAATAGCTGAGACTACAGATGCCTATAGATACTATACCTGGCTGAGGTTTTCTTTCTGTTTGCTTAGTTATTCTCCCCTCAACAGAACATCGTAAACTCTGTCAGAGCTAGGAGCTCATATGGACCACTATATCCCCATAAACTAGAACAGCACCTAAAATAATCATTCAACACCTAGTTATTGATTGGCTGTTATATACCAGACACTATTCTAGATACTGTGGAAACAATGATGAATATCTAATATAATGCCAGGTAGTCAAGATAATAGAAGACCTTGTGTATCCTGGTAAAGAGGTCCCAGTGAAGGACTCTGGACGTGTCCTTCACAGTAGAGAAGCTTCTAGATGTACCACAGCATGCTTGCACTGAGCTTCCTGCCAAGTCTCCTATCCGTAGAGCTGGATCTCTGAGTATTACCTAGCTAGGAAAAGTATGCCAGCCCCAGGATGTGTCCAGGTCTTTCTTCTGTGTTGAGTGCCTGTCTCTCCCATTACAACCCTGCTGCTGACTACTCCATCGAGTTCATTAGAAGTTCGTTCTCAGTTCATTTTAATTTAGTTCAAGTTCATAAGAAATGGCCAGACATTCCTAATCAGTTCATTACATCTAAGGTCTATCCCTTAGAAGTGTAGGTGGGCTTACTGGCTTAACTCAAGGAATCACTTAATATGAGAAATGTTCTTGTAACTCACATGTGCTCAGAACCGTATATCTACTAATGTACTAACTCAGAAGCATGCATCCTAAATGTTTCCTATTTAACATTATTATTCTAAGGAAGATCATGCCAACATTCTTTAGAAAGTTTTTTCTTCTCTATTTTCGGTCTACCTTCAGTTCTAGTGTTCTGATGTTCTCAGTGCATTAATATGCTCAGTGCATTAATATGTATGCTAATACACAGGGTGGTTTTTTTTCATACATGATGTTAACAGTTTTTCCATCTTTTTATGCAGATGACATGAAAATGGAGACTGATATTAAGAGAAACAAAAAGACTCTTCTAGACCAGCATGGACAGTACCCAATATGGATGAACCAAAGGCAAAGAAAAAGGCTGAAGGCAAAGCGAGAGAAAGGAAAGGGGAAAAGCAAAGCAAAAGCAGTGAAAGTGGCAAAGGGTTTGGCCTGGTAGACTCTTAAAACCTTGGAAAATGCCACACGGGATAGATGATGGATTAGAATGTATACACATGTATACTTTGATTTCAGCTGCCACCAAATGAAAACTATTTGTTTTCCTATTTTAACTTGGCCTTTTTTCTGCAGTTCAAACCCAGCATAACTCCTCAAGTTTGTTTTGGGAACTTAAATAAAATATTTTCTTTGATACATCCAAGCTCTACTGATACTTTAATTGGATGCTACCCAATATCCAGTTATAATCAGGCCTCAAAGTTCTGTCAGGTATTAATGTGGTTAGACGTTCTTACAAGTGGTAATTATAGTCAGTAGAGATAAAACAGATGATGTACTGACAAATTTTTGTGAACTTAGATTTAAAGAAAGCTGTTGTATAATCATACCATTTAAAAATACAACATTAGGCCTGGGCACGGTGGCTCACACCTGTAATCCCAGCACTTTGGGAGGCCGAGGCAGGCGGATCACCAGGTCAGTTCAAGACCAGCCTGGCTAATATGGTGAAACCCCATCTCTACTAAAAATACAAAATCAGTTGAGCATGGTGGCGTGCACCTGTAGTCCCAGCTACTCAGGAGGCTGAGGCAGGAGAATCGCTTGAACCCAGGAGGTGGAGGTTGCAGTGAGCCG